CTTTACTTAAGCTGCTTTTGTTACTCACTTAATGGTGCCTTTTTGGGGACACATTTGCCTACTTTGCAGGAATAACTCTAGGGAAGCTGACAGGCTTCCAGCACCCCTCGGGGCAAGCCTCCTGGTGAAAGGTTTTCCTAAATTATTTTCCGTGGCACCTGAAGGCACAAAGAAAGGAAGCGGCTTAGAAACAGCAAATCTGCTGGAATCCATTCCTGCCTTTTTTTCTTTCTTTTCTTCTTCTTCTTCTTTTTTTTTTCTCTCACTTGGGCTGTGAGGAAAGGAGGAGGATGTGAAACGCAAACCTGCTCGGCCTGTTCCCGGCTGGTTTGCCCGTGGGCGCGTCTTTCCTCCGTCTTTGCACAGCTGTTTGCCGTCAGCTAACATTTACTGAAGCAGAACTGGGTGTTTCAGAGCAGTGTCCATGTCAGCTGTCCAGCCCCTCCTTCGAGTGGGTCGGGAGGCCAACTGGACGCCGATGCTGTGTCTGTCCGAGTCTGTGGGGACGTGAGGTCCAGGAGAGCAGTGAAGGGCTGGGCTGCGGGCTGGGCTGCGGGCCTGGCTGGGCTCTCACGGTTTGCCAAGGAGAACACCCCCCCAGAGCACACCTGCGGGCACCGCGTGCCTGAGGGAGGAGGGAGACTTCCCGGTCACCGGGAAGGGGCCGTGCGCTTTGTCTATCCCCACCTGCTGTCCCCGGACTCTCTAAACGGACTCACACTTCCTTCCGCTAAGAAATGCAGCAGGCTGAGCACAGGGTGAAAGATCTCTCCGCGATTAGACCAGCGGTCACCAGCCTTTCAGGGCTCACGGACCACTGGTTGGCGACCCCCGATTAGGAGCGTGGCTTTGGGTATCATTGAAGAACGTGTACCTGGGGCCAGGTACCTGAGGCTACCGATTCTGGGGAAAGCCTGAAAGCGGGGTGTAAGCGTGTGCCTTGGAACTGGCTTCTCTCTTCTAAAAGCAGGTCGCAGAGATATTTCAGAAAAAGTGTCCTGGGGTCCAGCGAGATAGCCCTTTGCCCTAGGGCCGCTGCCTAGGGGCTTGGCCACCGGGAATGGGCAGTGTCCGAGCAGAGCATCAGTTAAGCCGTCTCACCGGGACGGATGGCAGTCGCGGGCATGCATGTTGCGGTACAGAGCTTCCGTGCCTTGCACATGAGACTGAGTGTCATCTTCTGTGTGTTATTTTCCTCTCCTCTCTGTTCCTGCCTATCATTTTAATGCCCTTTGGGCACGAAAGGATAAACCCAGAACAATGAGCAGCTCGCTCCTCTGGGCCAGGCCTCTCCCTGATGCGTTGCCCTTCACCCTCCCAGCAGCCCTGGGGTAAGGTTTCCCCGTCCCTGTTTCACAGCTGAGAAACCCCCTGAGCCTCGGGATGGGCCATGGAGGGGCCCAGGGCGTGGGTGGCAAGCCCCTTGTCCCTTGCCGTGGGGGCGCTGTCGGGGCCCTGGCCGCGGGGAGGGTGTCTGGCCTCTGCCTCCCGCTCGGTGG